GAGGAGGAGGAGGAGGAGAGAGGAGGGGGAGGAAGAGGGAAGGAGGAGGATGAGGAGGGGGAGGAGGAGGGAGAGGAGGAGAAGGAGGAAAAGGATTATGAGGAGGAACGCGGGGGCGAAGGCGGAGGCAGAGGCGGAGGAGGCGGAGGATGAGGAGGAGGATGAGGAGGAGGAAGAAGGTGATGAGATGAGGAGGGCGGGGGGGGGGGAGGATGATGAGGAAACGGTGGAGGATGAGGGGGGGGGAGGAGGAGGAGGAGGAGGAGGAGGAGGAGCAGGAGCAAAAGGAGGATGATGATGATGATGAGGAGCTATGGCGCTATGGCGGACGCGCGGTGTCCAGGTGCTGGCCTGGCCGCCCCACCACAATCGCCGAGGGAAAGTCATTCCCGACTTTGGCGGGGGCCCTCTCTCCAGTCGGCGCAATGTTTCCAAACCCTTTTTGGTCGGAGGCTGACCTGGGGCCTGCGGCGTGGCTCTCGGCCCAGCGGAGGTCAACCTCGCCTTCTCGAGCGCCGAGGACTACCCGAAGACGAACCCAGAAATCAAATATCTCAGACTTGGCCAGCAAGACCCGTGGACGTCGGAACGCTCGCGCGACGGGGGAATCATCGCTGAACGCCAAATTGCGCCCGAACGTGTACTGACGCGCGTAAATCAACGCGATAAATTCAGCTTGTGGGCGAGACCGTGCACCTCCCAGGGCCCCCGCGATGCCCCCGTCACCGTCGTCCAGAGTGGTGCCTCATCTGACGCGGGACCACCCGCAACGCCTTAGTCTCATCCTTAGCGCGCCCCCCCACCCCTCCGATCCGTCGATCCCCCGGGCGCCCCCCCCGGCAGACAGGCAACCCATCGAACGATCCCCAACGACGCGTTTAGTTGCGATCGGCAAGTGTCCAACCGTCCTGTCTAAAAGCATAGACATCGCGAGCAGCTTGCTCGCGAAGGTGAGCCGTGCGCCCCGCGACTGGATCTGGGATGGGGCCATTGCCCCTGTAATCCCAAAGCCCGGGGAAAAAAGGGCCCCGCAAGCCTCCCCGCAACGCGGGCATCTTCCTTGAGAAACTGCGTGGTGTCCTCCATCACGCGGCCCCTGGCTAGCCCAGAAACCCAGCGGAGCAGAGGTTCCAAAGCAAAACCTGCCCCTCATTATCGCTGAATCTTCCCCCAACCGAGTGATCTCCTGTTTGAGGACAGCGAAGTCACCCCCCGAAACGATTCCATGCCCGTGGTACTGCGTGGCAGCCGGGTTCCAGGCCAGGTCGCCGCTCGCGGCCATACTGGCGCGCCGCGAGGTCACGACGACCTCGGAGGCCTCAGTGTAGAGGCCGTTATCAAAATCATCTCGCCAATGCGCAGGAGACAATGGGCACCGGCCCAGACCCAGCGCGACAGCAACAGTAGTGGCGATCAGCCCACGGACCCGTTTCCAAACCTGGCTCCTGGGGATGCTGAGGGACCCCTGAAACCGAGCTTGCCAAACCTGGGAAACGCGTATCTTCTCCTTGTCAGTAGGGGATTTCCAAAGACTCACGCATCCAGATAAATGTCCACGCCGCAAGCGAAAAATGGGGTCGTTCTTCTCCGCCCCGAAGACACTCTGGATGGTAGTAGGGCAAGCTCCAACATGCCACTGGCCAGAGCAGACAGCAGCCTGTCCGCGCGCGCGAGTAGCGCGCTTTCTTGCCCCGAGCTGAGGCCTCTCGCCGCCTGGCGCGAACAATGGCAGCAGTCCCTCTCCTTCCTGCCGTGGTGGCGGTACCCGCAACTCTAACTGGGAGGCCTGTTGCTTTCAAATCGCTGGCGAGAAGAAATGCGAGAGGCCGTCGGTTCGCGACAACCGCGTACTTGTTATAAAAAAACAGACTGTTCGGCCGCATCAACAGAATGGCCTAGCTGAGCTGCTGCGGCAACAATATGCAACCGAACCTGGTCTTCAGCTCCCTGGCGCACCTGGGAAACGTCGTCAACCTGAAACATGATAGACGCACTAGGATCACCAAAGAAATGCCGATTATGCACAGCATCCAATTTCTGGTACATATAAATCTTGACCCAGGACATTGACTGCGCGCATCCAGGAAGAAACCCAATCCCAGCAGGTATGACCTAGGAGCAGAAGCCGCTACTTTCGAGCACCCTGGGAGCCGTGTGCGCGAGGAGGCCCAGGTGCAGGAGGTGCGGTGGGAAACTCAAAGCAGTGGCGCAACGCGCAAACTTAGCAGGGAAAAGCGTGCCACACACTTCTTGAGTTCCCAATGGGTTGCAACGCTGGAAACTTCCTGGAAGGCGGCAATCTCATGAGGAAGCTCTCGGCGAAGCGCAGCTTGCAGGGCCGAGCTGCCTTTGATGGCATCATCCCAGAAGTCGGAGTGGTCTTGACTCCGCGTAGCCAAGAAGCCCCCCCGCACCGTGCAGTGGGCGCGGTGGAGGGTGGAGCATTTGCAAACGGGGCGCTCATCGACCTTGCTCTTGGGGAGCAAACAGAGAATCCCAAGGAAGGTTTGGGCTGGCCACGTCACGTAGGCCTCGCAGTCATTCAGAAGCCCGAGAGCTTCGGCGGGGCCAGGCTCCACGTCCAGACAGTCCCGCGGCCTCCATCCGTCGACGCCCGCCGCCGTGGTTCCACAGAAAACCTTCGCAACGACGTGGGGGTCACGAGTGGTAATTTCGGGGAGCTCGGGCAGGAAATTCAGCGCGCTCACGCGCCGCCCTTCCAACGCCTCAGTCAACTGTCGAATCTGCGTCGGGCTGGCAGTCCAAAAGCCACCGCATATTTTTTACGGTGGGCCATTATTTCAAGGGAAGTTGGAGCACGCCCTCAGGGGCAACGAAAACTCCAGCCCCTCCTGCTCTTCGCGCCCGAGCCAAGCGCGAGCTTTAGGGGCGCCTCGGGGCAGCGCCTTCACAAGCCAATCCTTAATCGCCCTAGCTGCCGGCGCGCGGGCAGCCTGCCGAGCCTTGGAGAGGGCGCCCGTGCACCGATCTATGTATCGTCCCCTGACATCGGCCCAGATCAACCGATTTCAAGTCACAGAGCCGAACCCGCCACTGGTGGGCAGCCTCGTCGGCGGGAAGGCAATCGCAATGCTGCTGAATTCGATTGCCGAATGCTCCCAGCCGAGAAGAGATGCAGGTCAGCGCGCGAACGTGACCCTTCTTAAGAACAGCGCGCGCGCAACTTATGCAACTTTTGCGATGCAGTGGGCCAATGAGTAAGCGACGGCTGGGCAAACCATCCACTTCGCTTGGCATGGCCAATAACAATGGTATGTCAGGAATTCCACAACATCGCCTCGACCTCGATAAACCTCCATATCCTCATCCACCCACAAACAACTGGCAACCTCGCCCTCTCCTTCGTGCGAAACCATAAGAGACGATGCGATGCCAGCTCATGAGAAAGGTGGGCCAGGACATGGGGAGGCAGAAGCTGCAGTGACCTCTGAGGTGGTGCCCACTCCGCAAGCTCAGCATTAAAATGGTATCCCCAGGGCAGTGCAGGCCCTTCATGCTCAGGTAAGGCTTTTAGCCGCACGCGCATAGTCACCTCCTGCAGCAAGGCAGCGTGCGGCAAGCGGGCCTCGAGCTACCTGTGAGCCTTTAAGGGGGGGGGGGGGGGGGGGGGGGGGGCTGGTTCTTGGACGCACGCAAATAGGGCGCCAGAGTGTAGCAGGCAATCGCATAGCCAATCAAAGACCCACTGCCGTTGCTGCAAGTAAATGAGACCCCGCCAGGAGGCAATGCTTTAGCGCGAGTCACCTTCAGAAAACCACATACCTCTATGTGCACCAGGCCTATGTTGTAGTCCCCCCAGCAGGAACCAGAGAATAGTAAGCGCGTTCACGAACGCTGTGGTTTCCATCATCTCCAGGATATTTCCCCCCGATACCCCCAGGTCAGCTATCGCGTGCGCGACGACGGCGGCCATTGCGCAGGATTGGGTACGGAGCTCCAGAAACACCGCTCCCACGCGGCGGGGCAGGGGGGAAGGCGCCGCTCAACGGTGGCCACATCGCGCTTAGCCGGCTTCACAGCGGCGGGGAACTGGCGGTGTTCAGCGAACGTAAAGGCGCCAGCCTTGCTGTCGTGCAACTGCGCAGCAAATCATTTAGTCAGAGCGCTCCAACTGGTTAGATTACAGACGAGCAGGCGAAGCCCCGAGCCACTAAACCTGCGGCGGCATCTCCGCGACCGCAGCCTTGAATCGTTCCTTGAACCCTGCGCCAACTTCGCGTTGCACGCGACGCATGCGCTTCGTTGAGCGGGTGTTGGCCTTCTCGAGCGCGAGGTCATCCATGCGGGTCTGGTCGGTCTCAGCCAGTGGACCTTCCAGGGGGCGCTTCTTAAGTGCAGCCAAGTCTTCAGCGCGCTCGTGGGGTAGGTCACCAGCATCAGGACCAGCATCACTTCCAGCTTCAGACTGAGCACTGTTGTAGATCTGTGTCTGCATCTCAACGAAACGTACCACCAACATGTATGGCAAGTTGTTGGTCTTGCAGTGCTCGCATATCTGTGCAGCATCCATGGAATGTAGCTCAGGAGTGCCAACATCCGTGCGCGGGCCTGGAGGTACAGCGGCTGGTGGAGCTCCACCTGGTTCAGCAGCATGCGGCTGGTGCTGCACCTTCACCAGGCGGGGCGCGCGGTGCAGGCGGCTGCGGGGCCTGGGCGGGGGCGGCCGCTTGGGCTGCGCGCGCAGCCCTGGCTTCCGCTGCGGCCTGCGCATGCTCCTGGCGTTTGGCGTTAACCCACGCTTCTTGAGAGAACGGGGCAATCGTGCCATCGGCGTCGCGCTTCTTTTGCTCAGCTTCACGATGCTCACCTTCAGCTTGTTGATGTTGCTGGCGCGTTTCACGAAGCGCTTCCTCCAACTTCTGGGCCTTGTTAGCACGATGGTGCACCCCCTGTGAGGCCGGGCGCACCGCTTTGGCGAAATTGCCCACCTCCTTTGTAAGACGAGTGTGTTCACGACGTGCGGCATGTGCATACGGTGCCTGCGTCCACTCTCAAGCTTCAACCGGAGGCAGAAGAACCATTCCACCGAGAACATTATGCAAGTCAGGCCTCGCAGCGAGGAGAACCGCAGCTGCAGCACGTAGTTGGGGGTCTCCCTCGGGCGCACCTTGCCCGTTCCCTCCAGCACCACCACCAGCGGGTTGGCCACCATCTCCTTGTTCAACGTCACTCAAGTACAATCCACCACAGCGAGAGCAACACCATCTGCCGCGGTACTTGATGTTCCAGCGGCCACAAACGGAACATACATCATACTCGCAATTTGAAGTTTTGGCGGCCTTCTTCTTGGCCCCCCCTAACCTTCGTTAGCACCACGTCTGCCATGCAACGGGGCTTTGTCGCGCCATGCCATGGCGCGAGCACGAGAGAAAAGACAAATGACACGAGAGGTACGCGCAGTGCCGTGTTTGTCCGCACGCTGGCCGAGGCAACCAAGCCTGGGACGGGGCTACCCATCCACCCCGACCTGGAGACTCTGGAGTCGGGTCCCACTACGAGGCCCGTGAGACTTGAGCCAAAATGGCTACGGGGAGGAGGATGAGGAAGAGGAGACGGATGAGGAGGAGGAGGAGGAGAAGGAGGAGGAGCAGGACGGAGGCGGAGGCGGAGGAGGAGGGGGGGGAGGAGGAGGAGGAGGAGGAGACGGAAGTAAGAGGAGCATGAGGAGGAGGAGGAGGAGGAGGAGGAAGGAGGAGGAGGAGGAGGGGAGGAGGAGGAAGAGGGAATATAGGAGAAGGCGAGGAGGGAGGAGGAGGAGGAGGATGAGGAGCAGGAGGAGGAGGAGGAAGGAAAGGGAGGTAGGGCGGACGAGGAGGCGGAGGATGATGATGTGATGCGGATGAATGATGATGATGATGTCATGATCGATGAGGAGGAGGAGAGGAGGGGGAGGAGGAGGATTGACATGAGGAGCACGGAGTGGGAGAGGAGGAAGGGGAGGAGGAGAGGCAGGAGGAGAGGGAGGATGAGTAGGCGGATGAGAAGGAATGGAGGAGGGCGAGAAGGAGGAGGAAGAGGGGTGGGTCGATGAGGACTGACTGAGGGACGAGGCAGGGGGGAAGGGAATGAGGCATGAGGATGAGGAGGAGAAGTAAGGAGCAGCAGGAGGATGATGATGATGATGGCGATGATGAAAAAGAGGGGGAGGGGGGAAAATTTTTTCGAGAGTGTGGGGGAAAGGGAGGGGGGGGGAGGAGTAGGAAGGCAGAGGCATGAGGCGGAGTAGAAGGCGGAGGATGCGGAGAAGCAGGAGGAGGAGGAAGGCGGCGGAGAAGGAAGATGATGATCGATGATGATTGATGATGATGACGATGATTGATGATGATGATGATGATGCTGAGGAGGAGGAGAGGAGGAGGAGGAGGAGGAGGAGGAGGAGGAGTAGGAGGAGGAGGGGGAACCAGAGGAGTAGGAGTAGGTCAGGAGTAGAGTAGGGAGTCGGCATGTAGTAGTAGTAGCAGCAGTAGTAGTAGTAGTAGGAGAAGTAGTAGTAGTAGTCGTAATGGTAGTAGTAGTAGTAGTAGTAGTAGTAGTAGTAGTA